ACTATTTCTCAGCCATAGCCCGGAAGCATTCCATCATTCTTTTGCATAAGTGCTTACACGTGCAGGTAATATAACCTGCTCTACAGGAGCAAATAAATCAATAGATGCATACGAAAGTGATGTGGACTGACAAACTATTAAATGGAAATTAGGCGATGAATCGACAAAAAAATTTTAGCAAAATTGCTGAGATGGTTTCTCGTTTATTAGTATGATTGCAATACTTATTACCATTCGAAAAATTCCAGAATATTTTGATTACGTCAGACAGCTGATTTTAGATGATTACTAACCAACTGCTTGCTAAAATACTGCAAAATAAAAATAACTTCCCATATTACCTGACCATTACATCCATGTGTAAGGGCTTTAAAACTGAAACTTTAATTTATAATAATAACCTTTTGCTCCTGCTCATTTTGTAGCAGTTAGCCATTTCTTCAAATTGTATTCTTAAATGTCTTCCATTAGCTTAATACGCTATTAATTAGGAGACTTATTGAGACTTAAATGTACGCCCAAATGACGTCGTTCCTTTCCACGTTGTAATGCTCTTTCTTAAATACACATCGTGGTCAATATTCATCTCAAAATTGTATGAGTCTTCTATGCTATCCTTGCAACAATAAAACAAAAGGTATGATTTCACCTGGGGAAGGAGAACAGAATTGTTGGCTTGGAAAAGAAAATGCAGCAGTTGTTCGGATGAACATTTTTTGGGGAATTACAGACCTTCTTCAGAAAAAGACTGCTCCGCAGATTAAGAATGTTACAAAGACCAGGCTTTTTTAAACATGTCAGGGCATTTTCCCGTATTAAAGGCTTTAAGTCATACAGACATTTAAAATAAATTGAAAATATCTTGCTGATTGAGTAGAGCCTTTGTACCGACGGCTAAGTTTGTAGGCCGCCAGAAAGCCGACGGCGAGCGGGACTGAACAATCTTGGGACCTACTGTATCGCGTATACATCCACGTTCAAAGAGGTGTTTTTTTACTTTGTAAAAACTACTCCTTTGCCCTGTAGTTAGAACGTAAGCGAATAATATGTAGCAATTGGTGTACATTTGGGCTAAACAGACTATCAACTTCATGCTGTTATGAACGATCATGTGAAACCTATCCAGTAACGTAGACGAATAAGCTGATTTTGGAATTTTCGCAGCTACCTTCCTAATAAAAACATACACTTTTA